AAATCAAAGAGCAAGACCAGGTTTATTTCTGAGTCAAAGATGCGCTGCCCAGCACCTGGTTTCTGCTCCAGCTGCGGTGTGGGGGGAGCTTCTCCCCGCGGTGCTGGGGGGCAGCGGGTGAGCACAGCCCGGGGCGCCCACACGCTGCCTGCGATCGGAAGCCCTGGTGGAAAATAAACTGGGAATTTTTGTACTGGTCCAAACCCAACTATTTCAGACGTGGGTTTTTTGCTTCCCCTCTAGGCCCGATGGCTTATTAATTTCAGAGTTTAAAAAACCCAACGGCCTGGACCGCGCGGGAGCAAACCCCAGCGCAGCCCACAGGGGTCCGGCAGAACCCGGGGCAGGCAGGAGCCCCGGTTGCTGCACGGTACAGCTCAGCCAGAGAGGCTGCTGCCTTGGGACCCAAACAGATCAGCTGCCAAGGAAGATATGGAAAAAAAAATATTTTAATACTGACAAGATTCTTACCACTGTTCTGCTGCGAAACCCTCCAGCGTCTGCTCCCCCAGCTCCGAGAGCGCGCTTCAGGGCTGTTGCCAGGGTCTATTTTGCTGTGGAGAGCTAAATTTGCTGTATTTTGCTGTTTCTTGGGCATTGGGGTGCTCATGGGGTGCTCAGCCCAGCTGCTGCGTAGGCACGGCACCCACCCTGCCCCAGAACCCGGAGGCAGAGGGTGCTGTTAACAAAGACCCTGGGCAGGCAGGAGGGGAAGCGTTTGCCCTCGCTGGTTTCCAAAACCCCAGGAAGATGCTCTCTGACCTCCCACAAAGCGCATGGACCTTCCTGCTGTCTCCTTCAGCCCTCGAGGGTGTTTCCAGGCATCTCCCGCGGGCTGGGTGGGAGCACGCGTCGCAGGGAGGTGATGGCCAGCCGAGTTTCAAGGCACGTGGAAGCCAAACGCGTGGCCTCGTTGCCGCTGCGGTGTAACCACAAGCCTCGTGACGCCCCACTTTTGGTGTGGTGGCCAGGTCACGTTCGGGCACACGCCTGTAAATGCCCTTCACGTGACTGCGCCCTCCAGCCACCAGCAACGTGGCCCGTGTTGCCATGGAAGATGCATTTATCCGTCCCTGGTGAAAAAATGATTTTTTTTCTGCAAGATCCATATTTTAAGACTCAATAAAAACATGCGCGGGAGCTGAAGGCGGTGCGGGTTAGACGGGAGGAGCAGGAGGTGGGGGACAAAGAGGTCAGGTTGCGATGGGTCCCACGGGTCAGTTTGGATCCCACCAGCTGCCCTTGGACATCAGCTCAGGGGATGCGAAGCTGTGAGCTGCGACGGAGCAAGAGGGAGCGAGGCTGGAGCCCGTTGGAGCGGGGAGAGGGAAGGGGGGGGTGTGCTGGGAAACATCTGGGCAACGTGGCAGAAAAGGCGGCCAGGTCCCCAAATGTGAGGACCCCAAAGTGGGCCTGGAGAGTCTGCCTCCAGCTGTGCAGACAGACAGATGTGCAGGGATCCAGCTGTGTGGGCAGACAGATGTGCAGATGTGTGGCTGTTGGGGCATCCAGATGTGCAGGACCACGGATGTGCATTGATCCAGCTGTGCAGGGCTCCAGCTGTCCGGGGCTGCAGCTGGACTCGCCTCCAGCTGTTTGAGGCCCCGCCATGAGCTGTCTGGGTGTCCAGCTGTGCGTGGCTCCAGCTGTGCTGGACCCCGCCGGTGCGTGTCCCAGTTGTGTCCCCCGCCAGGGACATCCCCGCTGTGCACATCCCGGCCGTGCAGCATCCTGCGCTGAGCTCTGCAGTGGGCCGGGGCCTCGGCAGATGGAGCTGTGCAGCTGTGCAGGCAGCTGTGTGCGGGCAGGATGGGGCTGGCAGCTGTGCAGGAGCGATGGGCAGGATGGGGCTGTGCAGCTGTGCAGGGGCGATGGGCAGGATGGGGCTGGCAGCGGGCACTGAAGGAGGCTGAGCCCTGTGCCCGGGGTCCCCGCGCTCCCTGGGGACGGCTCCCTGGCCCTGGCCCTGTCACAGACTGCAATCTGCCGGTGACATGGCAGTGACCCCCTGAAACGCCGCACGGTGCACCCTGAACCGCAGCATCCTGCACCCCAACACGGGTCACGCTCGCCGCAAACCAAGCAGGGTGCACCCCAAAGCAGGATGTGACCCCCCCCCGGGCAGCGCGGTGGGAGGATGACGAAGGCAAAGGAAGAAGTGAAACAAAACTCTTTGATGTACCCCAAATCCTCTGCTCGGCCCCGTCTGAAGCTGCTTCACCACCAGCAACAGGGGCTGGGACGGTCCCTGGGTTGGGGAGCCCTTGGTGTTGGGGAGCCCTTGGGGACAGGGAGGTCTCGGGGCTGAGCTCCTTGTGTCACTCCAAAGGGATGTTTGGGAGCGCTGAAAACACCCAAACACATCTTAAATCACAACAGCTGGGCCAGAACCTGCCCCTCGTCCTTCCCGGCCAGCACTGGGACCCAGCTGGCATCCCCATTACCGGACTGGGAGGACTGGGAGACCCACCCCCCCCTTCACACAGAGGCTCCCAGTGCCGTGAGCCCTCGGGCTCCGTTCCAGCACCACAGACATGATAAAATCTGTGCTTTGTGCACCAGCCCCCAGCTCCTTCCTGTTTTTGACTATGAAACTGTCAGCGCTTCGGATTTTCTTTTTCTTTTTTTTTTTTTTTCATCTGTAGGGCTTTTAGGTGAACTTTAAGCCAGTGGTGCCTAAACCTCCTCGGCTGGGAAACTGCTTCCAGCACTTTGCAAATGTTTCATGGCTGGATGATAACCTGGGCGATGCTCCGTCCCGCTGCCTGGCACAGGGCTGCGGATCACGGGGTGCTCGGGGACACGGGGGCATCGCCCCCCGCGAACGTGGTGGACGTGAAACCAGCCTCGGTGGGGCTGAAAGGCGAGCAGACGCATTCAGCTTCCAGGCACCCAGCACCTGCTGCCGTAAAAACACGTTTCTGAGGGTGTTTTTGCTTCCGATGCAGAGGTGACTGCTGCGACTTCATCACCCCTGCCCCCAGCCAGGCGCCCGGCGAGGGCACGGGACACCCACAAATGCCGGCCTGATGGCCTGGCACAAAGCTGCTGCTGCAGGTCATGATTCAGACAAGAAATCCACATTTTCTCAGAAGAAACCCAAGATTTCTTCAACATTTTTCACTCGGGCTGCAGCAGGGACTGGCGCTGGCTTGCAGCAGGTGCCCACACTCATCCCAAATTCCTACAGACTTGGGGGGGGAAATAACATGGAAAAGCAGCCCCACACCCAGGAGAGCAGGCGCAGCGCCTGTGGGCCATGGGAAAAAGTGACAGGGCTGGTTTATGATTTTATTTCTTTGCATCGTGGTTTCTATTAACAACGCCGACCTCCGGGTCAGAAGTTTCCTGGCAGCGATGGGGGCTCTGCGGGACCCTTATCCCCGCGCCCCGGGCAGCTCAGGCGCAGAGTGAACTGTGGCTCATCCCTGGGATTGAGTTTTTTTTTTCAGGAAATCCCCCCCTGAAACCCTCAGCAGGAAACTCTTGTCCTGGAGGACGGCTGCCGCTCGCTGGGCCGCTGCTGAAGTTGTGCTGCTGGTGACACAGGGGACAGCGTGGGCTCCCCCCTCGTCCCGCGGCGCTGAGGCGGGAGGTCCTGAGCCCCCCTGGCTGGGCTGGGGTCCTGGTCACCCCCCTCACACCTGGGCTACGCTTGCACTCCCCGTTTGCAGAGCTGGGAGCCCAGAAAACCCCGATTTCTGCACCCCGTTTTCCTGCAGGTTTTATTTTCCATCTTCTTCTCCCCCAATATTTGAGCAGCGGCAGGTGCCAGCCCCCCTGGGCGCAGCCTGGACCTCCTGGGGGGGTGTCTGGAGGCAGCACATGGGGTGACCACCACGGATGGAGTGCGGGGACCCCTCAGCACCGTCCAACCGAGCCTACAACTCACGGGGGGGTCGGGGCCGGCGGGAATTTTGGATGTGAGGATGGTAAAACAGAGCCAAGAAGCATCCTCCTCCCCCGAGGAGAGGAAAAGCGAACCAGCAAGCTGCCCTGCACCTGAACTGGGTTTCCCCCCCAAAAAAAACGGAAGGAAAACTGAAGGGTTTAGGGTTAGTTTTGCAATGTAGCTGCCCTCAGAGCGTTTCCGCTGCTGCTGCTGAGAAGGAGAAGTGAAAGGACGTTGTTATTTCAGCGCCAGAGCAACACCACCGTGTTTGCACGGACTCGTGCTGAAGCCGCTGCCTGGCAGAACTAGGTCACTGGAAGGGAAAGAAATGAAGCAAGTGAAGAGAATGAAATAAAGCAAGTGAAGGGAAAGAAATAAATTGAGTGAAGGCAAAGAAATAAAGCGAGAAAGGGCTGGCGGAGGGGAGGGGGCCAGGACAGAGCCCCCCGTGCCCGTGTCGGCCCTGCACCCGGGCTCACCACCTCCCTCCCACCGCGCCCGCTGGCCCTGGGTTGGTGCTTCACCCGCGACTTCAGCTTTTTGCCATCTGGCCTCGTTGGCCACATTCCCCACCCAGAACTGCAAATGTTTTCCCAGCCCGAGATCCCGTTTCCCACCTCTGCGCATCCCCAGGAGCCACGGGCGCAGGAACCCCACATCAGCGATGCACAGGGGTTCCCCCCAACCCCGACCGGCATCGCGGGTGGCCCGGGGTCCCCTCGTCCCCCCACCGCCTGCCAGCAGGATGTTCTTTTTACTGGAAAAATCCGTTGTTTTGGGTCAGGCCGGGACATGAAAGCATCCCGCGAGCGGCCACGGTGCCGCCCCGGGCGAAGGCTGCGCTGCCGGCCGCGGCCATCGCCTTCCTGTCTGCATCGCCTTCCTGTCGCCGCTGCCACCCGCACCGGCACCGCGCCGCCGCCGCTCAGGAAGGCAAAACCCTTCTCTTCCCGTTCGTAAGACTGGGGTTTGGCCGCGGGAGGGGTCAGATTTACCGTGCCCCCTCCCCGTGCCAGCCGGGTCCCGGCCCAGCGCAGCCGCCTCTCGCCTGCGGTTGAGATGCTGCCCACGCCGAGCTGGTCACAAAAGTAGCACGAAGAGCCGCAGGCAGGGTCATGCTTTCATTTATTCACTTCATATAAAAATCTCTTAAGAATGCATCTGAACACAATATATAATACTATAACATACATTGTGTGAAACTTTTGGAAACAATAAAATAACCACCTGGAACAATGCAGTGTTCAACAGACATACAAACCCATTGATCATGCACAACTGTGCTATTTTCATTAACTAGTTAGTCACAAGTTGGACCAAAAGCTTGAAACATATTTTACAAACTGAGATTGACACCGCTCACGATGCCGGACAAGCTTTGTCAGAAGAAGTTTCACAGCACAATTATTACATCAGTTCACATTTTTGTCATAGAAATTCACATTGGGTTGTTCAGAAATTGGAACGTGACATTTAAAAGCCGGCCCGTTCGCGGGGGTTTCTTTTTTTTTTTTTTTCGGTTCCCCCTTCCCTCCCCCTCCCCAACTCCCCTCTAGGTTTTCAGCACTTCCAACCGCTCGCCCGCTGCCCTGGGGGTCCGGTGTCCCCCCTACCTTGGGTCGCCGGGAAGATGAAACCCCCCCCCCACGGGCGGCTGCCACCCGAATGCCCTTCCTGGGTTGCGTCTGTCTCTTCAGCTATGTTCAGGTTCTTGTATTTTATGCAATACAAAAGGTTACAAGAAAAAAAGGCAACTCTTATTCCGAGTTTTCTACACAATTAACATCGCCGCCCACAGGCAATGTTAATTCATATAAATTAATAACTTACAAAACATTACAGTATATACATTACGTAATAAATACACTGTTATAAACAGTAATGGAGGTGTTAGAGCTCAAGGCAGTGCAGGAGGAGGACGGTGGACCTAAACCTAGGAAACGTGAACGGTAGGCGAGAGGAACACAAATATCCGAGCGTGCAAATTCCACTGAGCCAAGGAGCTGCCGAGGGGGAACGCGCGTCACACGCTGCCTTATCACGCTTACTTCTATAGGTGCTGCGCTGTGCCATGGGGACAAACTACCCTCTACCCTGTGCACGACTAAAACAAAACCCCGTGGAGGAAAAAATACTGTTATTCCTAGCAAGCGAACAGAGACGGTGCCCGACGGCATGAAGTGACTTTAAATGGGTCGCCTGGGGTATTAAGAAGACGATTAAAGGTGCAGTAATGCAAACCAGAAGGTTTCTCCCTTGCATCTAGTCTGTAAAAGTGATTTAACTGCAATAAAGTGACAGGTATTGCCCATGAAAAAAAGGAAGACTGCTTCTTGTAACAGGAAGAATCAAAAAAGTATCCGGCAATTTGGAAACACTTTGTGTCGCTTTTTGTACTAAACTTCGTGCGTTTAATTAAGAGACTCTCGAAAAGACATGAAAGTGTTTACAAAGAAGGCACACAGGTCTGCAGACAGGTGGTCAGGTGGACAGGTTTTATATGGAGAGTTATTAATCAGTAGTTTCTATCAGTCTAACTGGTATAAATTCCAAAACTAACGGTATAAAATCTCTCAGTTGTGTGTCATTTACTCTTCAGTCCCGACCCAAGCCAGCTCCAGGACAACGTGATGCTCTTAGCTGACAAGGCTTAAACCACAACGCAAATCACCTGTTAATTTCCTGAGCAATCATTCCCTACACGATCTTTAACCCTGACTCCAATCTCAAGTAGCTGGGAAGATCTTTCAGCCAATGTTAGACACAGGCCTCAGACCCAGGCTGCAGGCTAGTCCGCGAGACTGCTTGCATGCTCATCAAGTGTTTAAAATCCACTCACACAGGTACAGGACATTATGTGTCGACAGGAGACGTGTCTTCTGTCACGATTTCTATGTTTGCCTCCCTCTGTGGATCTTCCTCCCCTGGCTCGGCCACGCAGAGTGTCTTTGTATTGCTGAAGTAGCCGATGCTCTCGCCGTCCTTCTCCGGCCCGTCCGAATCCTCCTCCTCCAGCGTCAGTTCAAACTGGAACTTCTCCATCAGGCTCTGACAGTCCCTGCCCCGCTCCTCCAGCGGAGGAGATGGGCTCTGAGGTATCATGCTCTGGTACCAGTTCCTGTTGTCCTCCAGCGTGTCCAGGATGTCCTGGGCGTCGGGCTGCACCAGGTCAGCCCACGTCTCCCAGAGCGGGTGGACAATGTAGTCGATGAATCCCACCTGAGAAACACAGGAACAGGCACTCTTAGGGGAAGGGAACGGCTGGAAGCTGGGACAGCAGCTAGAAAGTTCAAATGCTGTTAACTCCTCATTTTTACAAGCAAAACACCCACCCCAGAGCAAGTCCCCGAACCAGCACAAACTGCAGACATAATTCTCTGATACCCGAAGCTGCACCTACAACACTGGGCTAGACTGATGTCCAAAAAAAGCCCAAACCTTGGATGAAAGTTTTAAGTAAAAGCAGGAGCCGCCGGGCAACGCAGCAACAGAGCTGCAGGCGTGATTTTAATTACCCCTTTCTGACTAGCAGATCAACCCCATCCCTGCAGAACTGGGGGGAAACCCACCACTTTGAAGAGAAAAACATCCCACGGAGGGATGCCTCTCACCAGCTGTTGGTGCAGAGAGGAATTTTAGGCGACGGTTTCCTGCACCCAAGCAGGGAGGAGGTTTGCTGTCTCTTTGGATTCCCCAGTGACTGCGGACATGGCGCCGCCGCCGTTACCCAAGGGTGGGCGTTGGGCTGGTGGCTGTGAAAACACCAGTGCTCCCAGCCCTCCCAGTGCCCAATTACGGACCGAAGTTTGACCTTTAGGCCCGTTTTACAACGCTGTGTAGCCTGTACCTATTCTGAGCTGTTTCACAGCCCTACCCCTTCGAACATTTCAGCGTTTCTACTCGGCCGAAGCAGCCGCTGTGCGTTTCTCGGTGGGGCTGGCCCTTGTAGAGCTTTCGTTTTGTTTCAGAAAGAGCACAGAAAGGTTGTTGGCTCATCCCAAGAAGAGCTCCTCCCGCACGAAGGCTCCCAGGGAGTGACGTGCCCGCGGTGGAAACCACGCGGGTCGCGGCCGAGTCCGTCAGCCCTTCCGCCGCGCGGCGCGTTAAGCTCCCAGCAAAATCAATTTTTTCAATTGTCTGACTAAGAGGACGTACGTCCAGGATGGAGAAAACTGAATGGCCATAAAGAGGATTGAAATTCTTCCGTCTTGGCAGAATGTGTCACTTCTCGCTCCGCTGGACAACGTTTGTGTGCAGCAGGAAAATGGCTCTCAGAGGGGCCAGACTCAACGCGCAGATGTTTGCTTTGGAAGTCACACATGCCTCCTTCAGACACAACAGGATGTCAATAGAACCATTAACATTCAATTGTAACATACTGTTGAGGCAGCTTAAACAAAAAGGTGATGAAATTTTCCTGCAGCACATGTTCCGGAGCACTTTTAAAGTGAAAAAAAAAAAAAAAAATTAAAAAAAATTTCTGTATGGTTAGCTAAGGGCTTCGCCACCACCCCAAAACGCCCAGGGGCTGTACGGCACCCGTGGCTGGAGATCGGTCGCCTCCTGACAGGTCATTGCTTCTTTAAACAAACGCCCCGAATCACAAAATTGCTGGTCAGATGGCTGAGCACTGATCTTAAAATCTTTTGATGCAAAGAGGTAACACCTAGAGCTTTGAAATCCTTGCATCCTATTTTCCAAGCAATTCCTCGCTTCGCTCCAGAACGGACACGCCACCTCCCTCTCGTTTGCCGCTGGTTGGGATTTCAGGGGTAGCCATTTTGTGCAATTCCTGCACTTTCTACCCAGCAAAAATGCCATTTTGAAACCCCTGTGAAGTGCGTACGTGAAACAAAAAACTGGGAGCTCACATGTGGAGCACATGGGCATTTTCTGGCCAAGCCCGGCCGAAGGATTCATTTCTTGTTAGGTTAACAAATAAGACAGATTTTTCCAACAAAATCACCATGCGGTTGAGTGAATAATTTTGAAACCACTTGGCTTAGCCCAAGAGAACATTTGGAAATAATTATCATCAATTTTGTTACTTATTCAAGCTGAAAAACCTCGATGATGACTTGTTCGAGTCATTTAAAAACAACAACCAAGACACCATTATATAAAGATTGGAATATGTTTAGGCAAACATAAATTACCGGCTTCATTACAGACTAACCGGGTGAAATTTTATGGCCTGTGCTACACAGGTCAGAACAAAATCTGACCTTGAAACCGTTTAATCTATGAATCAGAACTCGCGATGAGCCAGTTAATCTCAAAAAGAAAAAAAAAAAAGGGCATATCCAGCTCGTTTTAAGGTCTGTATTGACATCAATAAATATTTCTTTGACTTCAGCCAGCACACTGCAGCTCCATCAGGCCTCAACTGGCCAGATCCCGCATCACAAAACTGTTCTGCCCGAGGCTGAATAGCGACCAACATCTGGACTTTTCCTGCGTCCTGAAGCGGATCCCAGCTGGGAGAAGCCCCTAACCCTGCAGTTCGCCGGGACTGGCGGTGTGGGTACGATGTCAGCAGGTTTAGGAGGTGCTACTTAAGGAGGCGGGAGGGCGTAAAGGCAGGAGAGACCTGACAGAAGGGAGATCAGAATTGCACTTTTCAAGCTGGGGGAACAAAAGGAAACCAACTCGCTCGGGAAATTGGGACACAAAGAGGGTAAGATGAACTCCGGTTTGGAAACGAGGGGACGCCAAGGGGTACATCAAGGAGCCTGAACAGCCTCGCCAGGCTGGATGAGCTTCGGGCACAGCTGGATGTCAGGGTTGAGCAGAACCAACCTTCTGAACAGCTGGCTGTTTGCCTAAGTGTGCTCGAGAAAGCAGATTTAATTTTGTCTCTGCTTTAAAAACACGAGCTTAGGCCGTACAAAAACGCAGCTCGGGGCTAATTACCTGTGATTTTTCCACCGACGCCGTGTGTTTGTCACACATTGGGCTGATTTCCATTCCTCTTTCTCTCTCTTTGTCTCCCTGCTGGAAGAACTCCTCCATGATCCTGTCTGTCCACTGCCGGTACAGCTCCAGAGACTTTGTGGGATTGCTCAAGTCCGCACAATGTACCATGTTTCGGAGAACCTGCAATTACATTCATCAGAAAACTCGTCAGATCAAGTGGGGAAAAAAAAAAAAAAAAAAAAAAAAAGAGGACGGTTTCAAGCTGTATCTGCTTGCTTCATTCAGAACGTTTAACCACAAGTTTCTTCGATTATGCAACAGACTATAAAAATATGACCATCGTAGCGTCTCCACGGGTGAGTCGAGCTGCTACGGTCCCGTTCAGAAGCAGAACCTGCTCTTAAGTTTTTTTCAGACACCTCGAGTTGTGGCAATGTTAATTCCATCCTACAGGTTTTGTTTTTTGAATGCAGGTGCTTCTCACCGTTCAAAATTTATTTCCACGCTCTCAGATGGTTAAATGAGCCCAACTTTATTAAATGAGTAATATCCCTTCCACATACAAACACAAAAAAAAAAGCCTGACTAACTTGTGGCCGCAAGGATTTAAGACAGCAACAGAGTGACCTGTCTTAACATCAGCAGTTTTAAATAAAAAGGTAAGGAGAGCTTTCCCATGGGTCTGGTTCTTAAGAAGTTGGCCATCAAAGTGGAGAGAAGCTCAGGATGTATCTTGTCCTGCTAACTACAGAACCCTGTTCCAGGGCTGCTTTGTCATTTCTGGGAACTGAGGATTAGACTGGACAGCACTAATTTCAGCTCAGTCTGAGGGGTTGCTTTAGGCATGGAGTTACAACTCCAGTTCTTGCAGTCTTGCTATTACTTTTTTCAACGGGGGAAGCAAATGGGCGAAAGCAGCAAGGAAATTCAGGAGCCCTCAAAAACTCGGCTTTATAGATTAAGTCCAGAAGAAGGTGCGTGTTGGCAGTTCTGTGCTCCGAGTGTTAAAAACACAATCCCCTTTACCTAAGAGATACGGGACCACCTTGTACCTCTCTGTGGTGCAGAACAGAAGAAAATGACCGCTGAAAATTTAGGCCGGTAGCTTCTATATCTGGCCCCTTGAAAAGCCACAGTAAAAACGGGGACACAGTTTCTTCAGTCCTGAACAAAACACACAAAATCCAGGAGACCTGGTGGATGTACCTGTATTCTGTCGGTGTAGTTGTCCAGAAGGAGGACGCCTGAACTGGTCACCTTCTTCGTTTCCACCATGGTCTTCAGATCAGCCAACAGACTCATATGCTTGGACATATCTGTCGCCAAGACCTTTAGGGAAGTGAAAAAGGGGTTCTCAGTAGGGGCAGCCACACAAAGAAGGCAGGTTTTTGTTTAAGAAGAGGAGCGGCGCGTGCACGGCTCGTACCATGTCGATCACCATCTTCCTGAGCGTCTGACGCTGTTTCTTGGTCAGGTTCTGGAAGATGTCGCAGTGCTCCTCTTGAAGCAGTTTGAAACCCACAGCAAGGTGGTGGTTCTCCAGGACGGATTCGTCGTTGTACATCAGGGCTAGTTCGGAATCTATCAAGAAAAACACAAAGATGTGACTCCGGCACGGGAAAGGTGTGATTCCAAACAGCAAACGCTTGTCCTGGGTACTGAAAAGTTTATCTGTACGCAATAAATCGGGGAAAGTGTTCTTTTTTCTTGCTTCGCGTGTGCCAAGAGCGTGCGGTTTTCTAATCAGAGCACATATGTATATAATATACACAGCGCTTTGCTCGCTTCTGACAAACAAAATAGTACCCAGTTGACTTAGTTACGGGCTTCAGAATCACTGACAACAGAAAGCGTTGAGTCCTGCAAGCACACTTTCCAAAAAAGAACAATACCCATATTTTGGAATCAAGACACACACTTGGCCCGTTGCAGAACACAATATGAACCACAATATTTAGCTTTATCGTTGTCAATAGCAATAGAATTATTTATCTCGTATTAATGATAAAATTTGCACTCAGGACTGGAAGAATTATTACGTGTTAGCAAGCAGTGATATTCACAAGACTCGAGGGCACTTTGCAAATTGTACTACAATAGCCCCCTTTGTTAGGATTTTCATTTTAATTACCGCTTTGTTTCCAAATGTCTAACTAGTTTACTGCACAATATTTTGAGAAAGCAATGCGGTCTTGAAAGTCGTAATTTGTGACCTCACTGTAATGGAAAATGCATTTCCATTAGTTTCCAAGTTTGCAGATGAAGTTGTTATTGTTTCTGAAACAAAACTCACTTGTATTAATAAGAAATTGATTGGAGACCCCAGGGTGATCCACATCGTGAATTGCCGCTGCAAAAATTGCAGCGAGGATTTCCAAATCAGTGAAGACAGCCTAGGGAAGGAAAAAAAAAAAAAGGAGTTTGTCAGAAAAGTCCTTACGCTTTATCTTGCCACAGTTTGGGAGTCTGATTTAGAGAAACAAATTGTGCTTTTGAAATTGGTTTTCCAAGGACATTTGCTCAGAAGAAAGTTCTACAAGCAGCATGTGCTCTTTGAGATGAAACAGAGATTACAGGCAAAGATGCTGCTGCAATTTTTGAATGGTCGTTTCCCCGGCAGCACACCGAGCCCTCGGCAGAGCAGGCAGCACGCTGCTCTTCACAAGTCTGAGTGCTGCTGGCTGAGGGTTCCTCTCCTCCCTTCACCCAGGCAACGCGGCGCTTTTAAAGCTTTTTAATCCCCCCGGTTAAACGCGACGGGCGCCCGACGTGAAGCGCTTCGGCTCAAACCAGGGGACTCACATCCAGGGCGGGGGTAGAGAGCAGAACGTGCGTGGACTGAGCAACATCAGCAGCGTGGAGGCTGTTGTGGTAAGCCACGTCCGAGTGGTAGTGGTCTTCCAGCGTCATCATGTACGTGACAAACGTGTCGGATGAGATCTTGAACGTTTTGAGGAGATCTCGCTCCTGCATGACAAACGGTACAAGCAGACGCGTGTGTAACACCTCAAAGAAGGATGTCATGCTGCACAAGGCAGCCAAACAGGAAGCAGCTAGAAACTGAAATAGTGTTGTAGAAGAACAGCAGATCTAATCAGAGTATCACGAACCTGAAATATAGCGTACATGATGCAGGTGAGCGGCCTGTTGTGGGAATACCTGGCGACGTTGAAGATGTTGAGACCCCACTTATTCAGATCTTCCAGTTCCTTTGGACAGGACAAAAAGAGAACGGTTGCAGTGGTTTTTGGAGACAGCTCTGCATTTATCACACCTTTCGCATTTTCCGAAAGTTTAAACGGATGCAAACCCGATCTTCATTACGGTAATTACGCAAGTGCGCGGAACAGGCAGACTTAATAAAGTACATGAACACGGAGGAACTGTGAAGGGCTGATGCCAAAGGACTTGGACAAGGAGACGACATTTCTCCGCGTGTCAAGGGAATTGTTTGTGCTGCGTGTTTCCAGGTAGCAAGAAGAAATGCCCTGACAGTGACAAAGGCCCCGCAGGCGCTTTGCTGGACGCAGCGTCATTATACGTTCCTGCATTTCATAACTGCTTTCCTCAGCAGCCTTCGTGACTTTTTTTCAATTATTTTAGGGATATTTTCAAGGCGTTTATGAACACAAATTGTGCTGTCAGGGGCTGGTACCATTAACGACAGCGTTTGCAATGGCCACACCACTTCAGGGGTACTAATTCCAGTTTTACAAGGGGCGGGGGGGGGATGAGTCCAGCCAGCCCATCCCCAGCTTCCAGAGAATACTGATTCTCCCAGAACTGCCAGAATCTGTCATACCTTGGCCAGATGGTCTTCCTTCTCTGTTTTCACACCAAATCGTGAAATGCTGGTGTTATTTAAGCTCGAACTATGCATTAATTTTTTCACTCCGCTGATCTGTGTCATGAGCTGCTGTTTTTTCTTCTTCTCTCTGTCTTTCTGGGTGGGAGAAGGAATCTCCACGTCATTCTGCTTGTCTGTAACAAATAAAGGTAAAATGAGTCAACGCCGTCTGCAGTGTGAGCACCCATCACACACACACACCCCCCCCAAAATCAGCCCTTGGCTTTGCTGATTAAGCGGCTCTGCACACCCGCTCAAACCCAAGGGGTCCTGCTGGGAGCCTTCGCTAATTTGGGGCCCGAACTGAACCAAAACCAAAGCAAAGCAGCCACATAACCTCTGTTTGCCCTCTGCCAGACTGAACTTTCCCACTGAGCCCTGCCGGGACGTGAGGCACTGGGCTGCTTTCAGGAGCCATTTCCAAGCCTGGGGACACAGCACATGGCCGGGAGCTGGCTCTCCACGCCTGACGGGCACCAGGTCCTGCTTAGGGCTGGACCTCAATTCATTTTTATTGCCTATTTTCAGGAAAATATCTATTCAAACGACACGTTTTTCCTCAATAAAGTACATAAACATGTATTTTTCACATTCACTCTATTGATCAGGGCCAAACCCATCTCCACACCCCCTGCTCCTAAAACACCCACCCAGTAACAAATTGGTGTCCCTGATTTATTAATAGGTTGCCCTTTACAAATACGTATAGAGTAACACACAGTGCACAGCCCCTGTTTCTCCTGTCATGCTCAGAGATAGCAGCAACATTAAGCCCGCACCTAGTGGGGCACAACCTCGGCTGTGGAGATGTGCTTAGTAAGTCAATCTACCCACATATGCTACTTACTGCCTTTACAACTGATTTTATTTGCCGCGTTGAAAAGGAGATGCAGCAGCTCATTACTCTGGCGCTAACCGTTTTTTTTTTTTTCTCCCTGAACTTTTAGAAAAGGCTACTAATAATTTCTTTGCACCTTTGTACCTCTGTGGACCTCTGGAGGGAGGAGGCATGTAGGCATTGGTTACTTTTGCCTTGGCTTAATTAAAAATCTCTGAAATAAGAACTACCAGTGTGTGTGTGTGTAACGCTGCAATTAAGAAGGAAGCCATTATTCACAGCAACAGTCAAGCTGACATCAACGGGTGTTTCCCTCGTGTGCTTTTGCTGAACAACAGAAGGACTTTCCTCTATATAATCCTCTCAGCAATGACTAAGGCAGCACAAAACGGACATTCTTGAACAGAATCTCTAACGTGTGAAATCGCGTCCCCGCAGTGGCGGCAGCAGCAACACCCCGAGCCCCTTAGGAAAGGGCGTGAGAGGCTGTCGTGATCTGCCCTGTTTGCGTGACGCGGCCAATGACAGAGCCGCTGGTTTTCATCTTTGTCCTTCCTACGGATCGAAAGCAGGTGTCCTTGCTCTCGCTGACCAAGTGGTGGCTGCAGGACTGCCCCCCCCCCGCAGAGGACATCCCCTCTTGGTGCCGTCCTCGGCTCATTTAATGAAGTCAAGAGACTGAACGAAGCCACGTCGTCTGCTTTTACTACCTGTAAGTGAAGCCCCATCTAACAAACACTGATTTTAGATAAATGAATATCCTACCCACATATTTTTATTTTTTTTCCCAACTGTTCAACTTCCTCCATTGTAGACTCCTGTTCTTTTGTGCGTTCATTTAACTTTAAACCAAATTTTAGAGGGGGGGTGTGGGGGGTGTGTGTGTGAGTAATTAATAAAAATGGAACAGCACGACTTCCTAAAAAAGCTTTTAAGATCCTTTTAAAAGCTTTACTCATTTCTGTTTAATAGGAGCAATCAAGCTGCAGGCTGGCCCCATCTGGAGAGCCCGCACCACCCGGCATTAGCGCGGCCCTGAGTGGTTTGAGTGGCCTCGTACTGGCACAAAACGTGCGAGGACGTCACCGCCAGGGAGCAGGAATGAGCGAGGCCATTGTCAAGACCTGCAAAGGGAAAGGCAGTTACCTGACCCAGCTCGAGTAGGGGCAATGATACACCCCCGTTAGCAGCGGCTTCAGCTAATTAGCCCCACGCTGGGGTACAGACTCCACCAACTTGAGTGTAGGAGTGGTTTGTTAGTTTTCTATGAGGTCCCCAGTATCGAGCTGCCCTGGGTGTTTCTGCAGCAGCACATCCTGCTCCAGAGACATCTGCCCGCTGGCAAGAGCTGATGAACAACAAAGTCCCCGAAGACACCGTGGGGGTCACGCTCCGGCGCGCTGTGCCCGCCCCAGGCTCTCCGGCTGAAGCAGCAGCCCCCCGGCCAGCAGCGAGGCCGCCGTGCTTCTATTCCCTGTGTTAATTCAGGTTCTAGATGTCATGATTAAGCCGAGCGATAAGACAAGGGCTGATGGATTCCCACAAAGCAGCTACAGACTTACATGGATTATTAATGATGGGATGTGTCCTAAATGCACGCAGCAGTTCCAGCTGCAACTGGCTATTGAAATCACTTTGAAATCCCTTAATGGAAATAATTGTTTGTCATACAGTGACTGGGTTCTGGGCCATCTTAACCGCAGGGCATAAGTCCCCCACGAGCTCCAGCATCCCACATCCCCTCAGCAATTTGAAGCTGTTGGACTCAGAGATATGGATATGAGGGCCCTGTGCTAAGCTCCGTTTCATCTGCAAATGGTCATAAATTCTAAAGCTGCTTGAAAACACAAAAAATTCCATTTTTCATAACAAAAACATTTGGTAAGCACAGAGGATTCATTTGTTGTCAGCAGTCCTAAGAGCTCCAACATAAGTAATGCAATGCAAGATATTCTCTGTACTCTTTATTCTGACTTCCAGTGCAAAATGAGCAAATAACACACAGAGCAATATATAAAATGTCTGGGCTGAACCTACTTGTCTGAACCCTGTCTCTGACGGGGGAAGATGCAGCTGCATGAGGCTGTAGTTGCAAAGATGAGGCTATGCAGTCGGGCTTGTGTGACTTTGTCCTTTCCGTAAGGTCAACACAAAAATCAAATATTGCATAATGCAGCTACCGAGAGCTTAATTCAATCTGAACAGAAAAATCTTTTGATTTGCAGATGGAATTCTTCTGTGGATAGACTTATTCAAACACTGCATTATTGTCCTCCCCATATAAATTTTGCAAGTGAAAAGTCAAACCATTTAAATAATGCTCTGCCCCAAAGGAAAACTGGGCGCGAGCACGGACTGGTGGGTTTTAGGCTGCCATAAATCCTTATCTTTGAGTCACCCGAAAGCTTGGGATGCGACGTCTTACCCAGGAAGGTGTTGGAAATGTACTCGGACACCTGGTTGCCGGAGCGGCTCATCTCGGAGAGGTGTGTCAGCTCCCGGTTCAGCATCCTCTTGAACTGGGAGGGGAAGAGCACATAACACAAAGATGGCATTTCTTTTTTTTTTTTCCTCAATGCTTTTCCGAATTAACACAGCTCTCTCACAAGCAAGTCCACAGACAAGAGATTAAAAGCAAAATTCTGGAGATATCTGGAATGGAGTCAGTGACATATGGCTTCGTTTAGATACTGCTCAGCATCGTCATGACTAGATATTTTCTTTTCAGTACACTAAACTACAAAATTCATTTCCTCCCAAGATGCATACTAGTTTTTAACAAACGAGAAGATAACGTTGCAGGGAATCTCTCTGAAAGATCAAATTCTTGCATCGGTTTTAAATTCCACATCCTATAACCTTCTTTTGTTCTGAATTTTCTAAGTTTGCTCCATTTTGAATTATGTAAGTGAAAGACAATCGCCTATGTTCAGAACAGAACAGAAATATGCCATAAACCCGAAGGTCTGCTTGGATCACTACTGAAATGAAGGATTCAAGCATTTCTTCACCCAGATACACATGCTACGATCCTCCTCATTTTCTAACCACACGTTTTCATTGCCGCATCGTTTTATCCCGCAACAGCGAATTCCCAAAGGGGAAAACAATTTACATACATGTACGCTGCATGCACAGTACACACGTATGTTCATCTCCTGCCATACATACGGCACGTAAATAACCATTTAAATGCACATAAACAGCCGTTTAAAAGGCATGTTTCCCTTACAGAGGTTTTAACCAAGCAATACAGCACAAAAAAACCCCGAGTCATTTATAATCAGTCAGGATTCAAACCCACCTTAATATAACCCCAAGATACAGATAACAAATAGTTTGCTTCAGGCATTTTGGAAAACTCCACAGCGGCGTCCACAAATCCTCACGGAGAAATCGCCGGTCAGACAGGAGAGCTCCTCGGGCACACGGACACCCCCCTTCCCCAGCCAATCAAAAAAAATCAGCGTCCATCAAAGGCAGAGATCCCCCAAAGCCCAGCGGTTGCTAATCCCAGACAAAGCCAAGCTTGGCATAGCATCCTTGCAGCGGGCTGAACGGGGGTGTATTTGCTCGCAGGAGAGAATAATGAAATCAGGGATTGCACGAAGAAACGAGAACTAATCCAAACGCGTTCAGGGGGATGGCTGGAAGCACTTATGAATTATGAATCGTCCTGGTTGCTTAGTTGGCTGAAGGGGGGTCCCCGCTCCACAGCAGCCTTGCTCAGCCGAACCGTACGACAAAAAAAAATGATGCTGGTTTCTGAGGGGTTGCCAGCTTTAGTAACACAGCCATCTTTTTTATACGGAAGATTAAAATGGAGGAAGCTCTGTGCATATTTAAATTAAGTCAAAAGTAGGCAGTAGTCTCTTCTCCATTTCTGCTTTGTTTTAATCCTCTTCATTGCAGAGGCTGGGGGTTTTCAAAGCCAGTGTTCACACACGGATTTTTAAAAGCATAAATTTTGCACATTTTCAGCGTGATCATGGCTTTTTTTCCCTGACATGGTAAAAGGCAAAATGTAGCGAGGTAGCAAAATGTACCTTTACAGACTGGAAATATTTTCCAGGGTAAAAAGTACAAACTAATAATGACCTTAAATCTGCAATGTCACTCTGTGACGAATGCATTTTTTTTCTCACAAAAATCCATTCACAATCCAAATGTCAAGATTTAATTATTCATTTTTATTTCAAACTGACACGCAACCACTTTATTAGGAAGCCGCAGCTGTCCTTTTAGCACCGCATCAGAAGCAAAGCAGCTTGCAGTGCCTGTGTGACAGATCACAGCGAGGAATCGCCCCCGATGCGCAGCCCTCCGATGGCGTTAGGACGTCCTTGGCCACTGCTGGCTGCAACACGCCGCACCACAGCGGCCAGGGTTCTGAAAATAAAAGCGCAGTCTTTGGTCTAGAAAAGATTTCCTTTCTCCCAACTGCTTTTATGAGATGCTATCAGCCTCGCTTGGCACGACGTGGTGCTGGGGACTTGCAGCGCACAGGGTAGGAGTGGGCAGAGCCCACATAAAGCCCACAAATAGCCCACGCAGAGCCCACAGCTCCCAGCTTGCCCAGGCTGCCGGCCCAGCCCTGAGCACCACAAAAATCACGCCTCCAGCCGCGGCTCAGCACCGTCCAGATGGGACTCCCGCTCAACCCTGCGGCTGCAAGAACCACAGAGAGCAAATCCAGTTGGGAACCCACCTCCTTCCCTCCCTAAATTCATCATTATCAGAGGTGGAAAGCTGATGCCACCTCCCTTTTACGCTGTGGCTACCTGCGGAGCCCAAAGACGGGGTGCGTCTGCTCGGACTCTGCCACCACCACCTCTGCTGTCTTCTCCTGCAGCCGCCTGCCTTGCCCTGCCAGGGGATATGTCACACAGCGAGGCCTCACCTTCTGGATTACTCAACTAGTTTAAATACTGGTTTAATACTGGTTTAATACTAAGGCCAGCATCCCATCACGCTGGGTCATGGGCTTTGGCTCACAGGGTCTTCCAGGAAACGTCACGCCAACCAAGAGGGACAAAAGCCTTTTTGAAACTCCTAAGAGAAACCTTAGTGATGGAGGACGAGTGGCAGCAAGAATGAAAACGAAGAGAAAGCCCGTGGGAGGAGAGGAGAGCTCTGACCCCGTCATTCCTCCCGGTGACGTATTTTCGCGGATCACAAGCGCCCGCCGCCGCTGACACGTGAGCCCTCCCACAGGCTCACGGCGAAGCATGTGCTGAAACACCCCTCTGGGTCGAGGCCTTTATCTTCACCAGGAAAACACCATAATCAGATGATCACGCAAACAACTTCTAAGCAACGTTGAAATCAGTTGGGTTTTTCTATACAATCGCCCCTTTCAGATAAATAATCCCAAGTGGTGGACAAACATCTGCAAAAAAAACCCGCCTTTGCCTCGCAACTGGCTTCATAAAGCACAAAGGGTAGCTGCTGCCTTTTCACAGCAATTAAATGGCCTCCACAAGGTCACCCAGGCCATCTGCAGCAGAGATGAGGACAGATAAAAAAGACCTTGGGATTCTCATATCTGATCTCTAACCAGAAATCGGTGCCCTTCATTTCCTCCATCTCGCTCACTCTTCCAGACTTTTAATCAGCAACCTTTCACGAACGCAGGCAGCGGCGCTACACCACTAAAAGGACTACGGGGGCCAAACCCAGCCGAGACACCCGCGGTGCTCTGAGAATACCCACGTGCTCCGCCAAGTTCACTGCAATTTACTGTCTGAACGATGCTGGCACCTAAGCAGGATTTATTTAATGACATGATGCCCCTTTTAAAAGCAGCCCAGTTCAGGGTGGACCAGCGCCTGCTGACGATGCACTTGCTAAACACAAGGTCTTCATCACTCACGGGTGGGGGGGGGTATTTGGGATTTTTTTTTTTTTTCCCCATCTTCCCTTGATGTCAGGGTGCTCTGGAGCGACTCTGGAGCTTCCTCAGAACTGCTTTGCCATTTGCCTGCGGGGAGGAGGCACGTTGCTGCCTCTCTGCACAGATCAATGGCTGATGTCATGTGCAAACCTCTGTAACGATTCCCTTCGTTAAATCGATTTGACAGCAAAGGGTAAAACAAACAGATTGCATGCTAGCAATGAGAAAATACCAACTGCTCTGCCATTAAGCAAACAGAAGTGTTGCTGCTTTAAAGGGCTCGTGCATGAGCGCAGCATGGCCCTCAGCTTGGCAATTACGATAATGCCCATCAGCAACATGTGGATGTGTGCTGTGATTTTCATAATTAATAATCATCTCGGTGCTTTTTTTTACCAAGGAAATAAGCACTGATAACCTCGCTGTACAGCTGGGAGCCGAGGCTCACGTAAGAAGACGCGGATGTGCGCGGGAAGGGATGCCCGCTCCAACTCACCGGGGGTTTTTCCTTAAGAAGAAGCAAAATCAGGAAACGGGCTCGGGTTTCCCTTCTCTTTACCCCAACTCTGATCACAGGGCCACGCAATTAACACATTCAGCTGATGAGGAGAGTGCAGATAACGTAAACAAGACGAAGCCCCAGCTGCAATTTCTCATAACCAGATACGCACGGCGGCAGAGCTGACCTTCCCAGCAAGTCACGGAGGTCTAAAACCATCTGGAGAGTTGTGTGAGAAAAAGCCATCGCATCGCGTGGAGTTTTTCCTGTTTTGCACGCTCTGAAGTAACTGCAGAAGTCATCTGAACGAAATTAAGTCTCCCAGAGATTGAATCACTCTTTGATTACCAGCAGTGACCCTTTTTTGTGCATTCTCTGGTAGAGGGAATCACAGTTTCTTTCCAGATTTCCAGTCGTGCATGCGTGCGGTAATTTCCTTGATTACCGCCGGGAAAAGTTCACTCACAGTTCCCCTCCTGGCTGCCCACACCGCACCCTCCCTGCTCACGTTTTCTCTGCGCTGGCAGTTGCCCTTTTTGCTTTGGTTTTGTCGCTGCAGCGTTGCCCCAGCCCAAGGCTCGGCAAAGGACACGACCACGGTGGCATCGGCACCGCGTGCGTGGCAGCTCCTGCAGCCGCTCGGCAGCTGGTCCTTCACCCCGTCCTACCTACGGGCTCTGCAGGAGAAGCTTGCTTGCCTTCTTTTGTGCAGAGAAAGAAGGTTTGGCCTAATTTATGACAGGATTTGCCAGATTTAGGAGCTCAAGCACGGTGGGAATGCGCTGGCTCCGCGGCCACCGCTTGAGATGCTGGGTGGAGCCTGGGGCAGCATCCAGCCACACCTGGGAAATCTCCCGGGTGCTTCAGTGTGGAAAATCCCACCTTTCTGGCTATTTACGTAGGAAAAAGACTCTCTTCCTTTCCTAGGAAGTCCAGGGAGAGCCACGTGGGTGGCACACGCAGTTCTTGGCCTTTCCAGCCCCACACAGGCCGGCTCCAGGGACAGTCCTGTTGTTATTCCTGTTCCTATTCCCCTTTGGAGTAGAGCATCAGAGGTGTTCTGGCGCTTTACAGGGAGAATAAAGACAGGAGGATGTATCTGCTGCTGATGTAAATCCTTTGAAGTCGATTTATACCAGCTGGGGTTCCCTGAGGCCAAGAGTCCTTATGCAAAGAGGCTGCTTAAAAAAGTTTTAGTCATTTGCAGGAGCTGAGAGCAATTTCAAGATAAAAGAGCTTAGCTAAGATGCTGCGGGGCCCCAGCCTAGGGAGAGTACCTAGGGAGAGCAGGGTCCCACCCCGCACTTTGATGGAGGAATCTTGGGTGCAGATCTCCAGTGTGTAAAAATGTTTATAAACTCTGTTCCTGGCGACCCACCCTTCTGACGCAAACATTACATCCCTCGCTCTGCCACCGCTCCTAGAAATCCTTTAGAACAAAAGGATTTGTGGGACCGAGGGTTATTTTCCCCTTTGATTTCCACGCAAAGGCAGCTGGGCTGAATCCTTCTCAGCTTAATTGCCTGGGTAAATTACTGCAGGTCCAGAGGTGCAATTAAACTTCGGTGTAACTCCATTCATTTCAACGGCTCTTCTCCTGGGAAAAAAAAACTGGGTGCCCAGTGCTGGGAGCTGGGGAGAGCTGACACTCACCTGCCCGTGTGACGGAGCAGGAATGAGAATCCAGCCGGAAATTATTTACACGCAGGAGGGAAATTACTCATCCGTGTGTACAGCAACCAGGTCAAACAGCAAATGTGTAATGCTTTTGTCTGGACCTCTGGTCGCTCGAAGGGAAGGGATGTGCCACTCATGCTACTACAGGGTTGGTTTATTTTTTAAAAAATGAGATTAATCTCCTTGCCTGTGTTTGAGAAGCTACAAGAAATATTTGTAAATACCTAACCCTCTCCTCCTGATCCAAATACCCCACTCCCATACCGCACAGGCACACCTAACCCTTAGGTAGGCAAAACTCCCCGAGTTTGGGTT